TATTCACTCACACTACCCTGTAGGGCAGAGCAGAACTGACGTGCGTGGTCTTCAAGACAGTCATCTTTACGGGACGTCATCTCCCGCAGAGTGGCCGGTGGGGCCAAACTACTAGCCTTTCAGTTAGCAGCCAGCGCGCCTTAATCACTGTGCTACTAGGGCTCGCTCAGTGATCCCGATCAGGTGTAATCCAGGCACAGTGACTCCTCACGGTATGCAACAATGCTGTTTTTATTAGTTGTTGGCTGCGGTGATTCTAATTTGAGGCCACCCCACATGAGCCCCATCATACTGCTCCTGAGCGTTTTCAAAGCTGTGACCTTCTCAAGTGGAAGCCAGGCCTGTCTTCAACGGCACCTCGGGGTTGACTGCCAACCTGCCCTGAGTCCTCGGCACCACCCAGGGACTCCCACACAACCATTAGCACCCGGTCTCTCTAAATGATTCCAACAGGATTATTAGCAGGAACTCATACTCGTCAAGAACTAACCTTTGATATCACCATCTTAAAAATTCCACAAATTAAGTCAGGTAGGTAATGGCTGGGTTCTGAATGGAAATCACAAGGTCACGACAATGACGTAGGACAAGAAGTTGACAGGTTGGAAGACACAGTGCCAGAGGTTCAATCCTTACACACACATCGGACACAGGGCTACAAATGGATCGGAAAGATAGAAGCCCCCACCCTGCCCCTCACCATCCAATCTGCATGGCCCCTGAAAACAATGTGAGGGGACGGTCCGACACCAGATAACCCTGGATGCAGCCTATAAAGCCATGGTCCATAAAGAAGACCCAAGATCAGAATCTCAGAGCAGCTCAGGGAAGCAGAGCCACTCACAACAAACACACCTCTTGCCAAACACAGTGCATTCTCTGTACTTGTCCCTCAAGATCTGAACCGTCTTCAGTCTACACGATGTCTTTGAGACAACATAACGAACGGAGTGGCTCAGGGGTCAAGAATGACCGCCATGTATTAGTGGGAGACAACATGGAACAAAACTCAGAACCATAAAAAAGACCAGACATACTGATCAGAGAGAGACAGGTGGAACCCCGAGGCTATGGCCCTTGTTCAGTCTCAGGTCTAGAACTAAACTGATCCCTGTGGATCAATTTTCAGCCAAGATACAGAAGGAAAGGCAGAGCTGTGGAAACAGGACGCATAGGGAGGAAGTGGGCTAAGTGAAGTCACGCAGAGGGAATGGCAGTCAGTGAGGAGACTTGTTGGATTAAAGCTGATGATCTGCTCTGTTCACAGTAAGAGGTGAAAGGGTGACGTGTGCTGCTGAGTCCAGAGGATGAGGGCTGGAGGCCAGTGACGGAGCTCCTGCCCCGCTGAAAGCATGAGGCAGGAAGGACGGGACACTGGGTGGATGGCCAAGAGCTACCCGACCTCGGGGAATGGGTCTGAGGTTAGGAGGCAGGACGCTCCATCAGACTCCATACTCTGGAGAGATATGGGCTTGGTTTAGGAGAAACTGAGGGAATCACAAGAAACTAGTGTTGAAGGGCATCTGAGGACCTGAGCATCTGATCCATGGGTGGCAAACACACACAGAGGCTCACCTGCAGGACCTCAGCAAGGTGTTCCTGAAGGGAAGCTCAGGAGAGCTCCGAAAACGCCATCTGGAAGCAACTATTCCCACACTGCCCTCAAATGGACATCCACTGCCCTCCGCTGCCTCCACCATCCCGGCACCAAAACAGACCCTCCAGGAGCTTGATTAGTGGGGTGCACTCGAACACCCACTCTTTGGCCAATCACCACCCCAACATGCCACACGTGGACACGCCAACTATCACTTGACTAATCACACTGCTGAGCATGTCCTTCCTCTGTGTGGTCAGTGAATGTTCCAGGGACAGGGACACAGGCAGTGGGGTGGGGGAACTGTGGGCAGGCTGGCCCAGTGAAGACAGAAATGTCCAGCAAAAAGGGCTCGTCCAGGGAAGAAACACAGGCCTACCAATGTCCAGCTGCCCAGAGTCCCACCACGGCAGTGCCTTTCACTGGCCCCAATGCTGAGCAGGCCACTGTGGACATGGCCACCTACTGAAATAGGAATCAGTCAGTAAAATAATCCTCTATGAACTGATGGAGAACCAAGCTCTCTGAAGTGAACACAATAGGGGCACCAAAATGCCAACTGCCCCCACCCACCCAACCATGTGTATGTCAACCCCACCCAGTGGAACTGCTTTATTGCGTTTATGCCGATCTTTCGGAAGCAGATCACCATGTCTTTCTTTGGCGACACCTCTGAGGAGGTTTGAACCACCCACGTTTACGGCTGCTAGCCCAGAGCTTAATCATTTGTGTTACCCAAGGATTCCCAAACTCAGGTACAAGTAGGTAACACAATGCAGGAGAGCCTGACGATTGTCTGTTTTAACAAATGCAGGAACGGCTTTCGTCTTTCCGACATCTCAGAGTCTATGACGTGTGTCAAAGTCCACCTGCTGACGTGTGTGGACCTGTTGGGAGCAGGACTTCAAAGCCAAGGTCATTTTGGCTGTCTATAAACAGGATCTCTGAAGCCATGGGGAGGCCACAATTCTTATTAAAATCCAATAAGCACTTTCATGAAATAAGATTTGATGAAACAAAATTCGACTCCTGGAAGCAAAGCTGACAAAACCAGTCACTTAGGGCAGGTACTTCGCGCCCATGCAAACAGTGGTATGGTTCATGCCAAATTCTGAAACAATCACCTTACTAATGCCACTGGGCACGGATTCCACGTGATGCTGTCATGCTCAAGGATTTCAACTTAGTGAACAGTAAATGAAAGAGTAGATTTATTTTTCAAAAGTGAAGAAGAGCTGAAATATACACACGTGTCTGTCAAGTCTGAGGGATCTTTAAAAACCACTGTCGGTGGTTCAAACTCACCAGGGGCTCCTATAGAGGGTCATTGTGAGTTGGAACCGACTTGATGGCACTGAACACAGATCAAAGACTATAGATTTCGGTATGGCTTTACATGTCAATGTGAAGAAAAGAAACTCCACAACTAGACCAATAGCGCTACAAATGAGGAAAAGATTGAATTTGCTTAGGGCTTCATTTTACACAAGCATAGGGTCGCTATGAGTCAGTACCAACTTGATGGCACCTAACAACAACATGACTATGGAAGCAACAGTCAAGAAATCAAATAACATATTATTGCGTTGGACAAATTTGCTGCACAAGAGCTCTTTTCAAGTGTTTAAGAGCGAAGGTGTCACTCAGAGGACTAAGGAGTGGAATTTTCAATCATCTGGTTTGTGTGTGAAAATTGGACAATGAATAAGGACTGGAGAAGAGCTGATGCCTTTGAACTATGATGCTGAGGAAGTGCTATGGACAGCCAGAAGGACGTACAAATCTGTCTCAGAAGAAGTGCAGTCAGAATGGTCCTTGGAGGCCAGGATGACGAGACTTGTTTCTCGTACCGTGGACATGTAATCAGGAGGGGCCAGTCTCTGGAGAAGGACATCATGCTTGGTAAAGTGCAGGGTCACCAAAAAGAGGAAGGCCTCTAACAAGATGGACTGGACAGTGGCAGCAGCAATGGACTCAAATATAACAACAGTGAGGATGGTGCCGGAACGGGCAGTGTTCTGTTGTCCATCAGG